GATATCAAAAAAGTACTCCAGAGTGTTGTTCAGCATGGGGGTGAGTAGAAAATGAAGGCTAATCATGTTTTGGGTGTACTATTCCTTTAAAGAGAGACTTTTCCCCAAATTAAACCAACTGAAACTAAAAAAATTCCACTTGAGTTCTGGATAGAGCGTTTTGACAGACGAAACTGTTTTTAAAAAACATCCTAAATGAAAAATATATATATTTTTTTTACAATTTTGGTATAATTGCTGCTCTTAGTGGGTCGCTCTGTCAGCTAAAGGCACGTTTTAATGTCTCTATACTCCAGTTAAAGATTAATCGATTACTGAATTAGTTAAAGGTAATTTCAGTAATTGATTAATCATGACTAATTAATTGTTTCAGCACTAATTTTTAGGCATGTTAGAAGTATAATTTTTTTGTTGGACATTTTATTGTTTCTACTAGCTTCTTTTGAACAATCCTACAGGGAAAATAAATCAAATTAAGGGATGTTGGATGTAATATTTACAGCTATGAGGAAACATTTAAAAGACGTAGACACTTAGATGCACTGATTTTTTAACGCAGTCTCTAGTGAAACAAGTGGCACTTGAAGTTTTTCATTGTTAGCCCATTTTTATTTTTCACCTCTTTATTTATGGGGTCTTTAGTTTCCTGATTATAGTCTCTCATCTCTAAACCTGTTTTAATCATCATTCCATGCACACATTCTTCCCTGTTCTTCCTAAACATGACTTGTGGTGCAAGTAAAACTGTGTTTCAGCTTCCTTTATTGGAGACATTTATCTGCAGGGTAAAAGCAAACAATCTGTAATGCAGAACCAATAACAACTGCAGGCCAGTATGGGTTATTAACTGCTTAGATCTTTGTTTTGTTGGACACTTAAATAGCAGAGTGCAGTTCAAATACAGAAAACTGACAAACAAATGGAGTGTGAACCAGGCTGATGGGTTGGTGGCTATTTATACTGTTTCCATTCACCTCTGAAGTCAGAACTGGGAGATTCTAACCCGACTTTATCATGTTCTGTAATGATCTCAGAATATTTGACCCAGAATTCAAGGCGAGACAGGCAGTGGGATCTCTGCAGAGATGGGAGAATACAGGTCAGTGACTGGATGTGGAGCTGAATACGACTTGGAGCAAAGTCACTGACCTGATTCAAAGTTCAGTCCGTACGCGGAGACCACAGCAGAATCCGGGAGGGTTTATATACAGGTGGAGAAATATTGGACATTCAGCATATTGCACAGGATATTGCACAGTCAATAAATAAAAAACTAAAAAGCTATAATATAGCTTCACAGTGCTTTTTACTGTGGTTATAGTGCATTAATATAGAGTCTGGTGGCAGCAGGAATGAATGACCTGCGGTAGCGCTCCTTCTTACAGACAGGGTGTCTAAGTCTTTGACTAAAGGAGCTGCTCAGCTCCTCTACAGTCTAGTTCAGGGTGTCACTATCCTACTGAGCCTACTGTCGCAATCTGAGAACCTTTCTATGGGACTGATAGCCGCTAATATGATAAACAGTAATGAGAAACTGGGTGGATGAAATGGGAAATCAAGCCAGTCATCAGCGCCAAGATCATGACATTTTGCATTTAATTTTTTGCACTGAAAGAGCAAATACACTGAAATAAACTTTACTTTACTTATTGGACTGTTAAAGATATGCTTAAAATGGCCAGCAATTGCCAATATACATTGATGATATATTGTGCATCTCAAGTAATTACCTATAAGGCAGTCATACTGGATTTTGAAGTTGATCTTGTGGGGAAACCTTTGACTTTTCCGCTTGGAATTCCAACTTTGTGGTTGATTTCTGGTCGTTTTTCCAGTTTTCCAACTCAATACAAGGTTGAGTTAAAAAAAAGGAAGCAATGAAGTGCTAATTAATTCATTTTTTCCCCCTAAAATTCCAAGTCACTTTGTTCTGCTGTTGTAAAACTGTTTATCCCGATGTCTTAGAAAACTTGAGATTACAAAAGTGGTATTTGTCTAAAAACATTAGAACAACTGCTCATAATTAATGTTAATCTGAGTCAAAACTAGGTTTGGGGAACCTTCTATCTACTTGTTCCCTTTTTTATTGTCTTTGAATGTAACAGGTTAACAGAAAACTAGGAACGCTAAAACATGGAGTTTCTTTCAGTTGTTTCATTTTGTAAACATTTAAGATAAATAGATAAATAGATAAACTAACTTCTAATATATTTGTAGGTTTCCAGTCTTTTCAAAGATGGCACCATTGGAACAGACATCAACATCGTTGTGGTCAGCCTGCTGCTGCTGGAACAGGACCCTGTGAGTGAGCTTAAGTTGTCAAAAATCTCTTCACTTGACACCAGTCTTTTTTTTTCTCTCTTTCCTGAAATTCTTACTTTCTTCTTTTCCAGCTGGGCTTGAATATAAATCACAACGCCGACCAGTCCCTCAACAGTTTCTGTCAGTGGCAGTCGGGTCTGGTGGGAAAAGGAGGTAAACGGCACGACCACGCAGTTCTTCTCACCGGACTTGACATTTGCTCCTGGAAGAACGAGCCCTGTGACACCCTGGGTAGGACGTTCTCAGCCTAACCTAATAAATAGCATATGAAAAAATAAGAATGTCTCTATTAGGGTTTTTTGGAGCTCAGTGGTTGGTAAAGTCTTTTCAGACAGACATGAAAAAATAAATAAATTAAAAATAAAACCTTTGTGATGATATTTATTATTGTTATTTAAGGATATATTGTACTCAACTAACTGCTAACGATGTTTTATACTTAGCTGCATAAAAATATGATCAGGTTTACAGTTTTATTTTATGCTTTTCTTGCTGAAATTTTACAGTGAGTTGATGAGCTTAAATTATCTTGTGGAGTTGTC